CCACACAGCTCTTGGTTAGAGTCTTCCTGCCCATAAGCCTTGACCTCCAGAGCCTAAAGCTGAAAAGGGCTGAAGAGAGACAAGACCTATCCACCCAAGCCCACTCTGTACCTTACTGTGGGGGAAGGCAGATTTTCCCACACATGCCCTGGCAGCACTTAAAGTTGCCATCGCACTGGCCATCCCTCTCACACTTATTGGGAGGATTCAGCATCAGACATCGTCCTTGAATCTTTGGGCACCTCCCAGGCTTTGTCCTCACTGGCAACAGAAGAACCACAGGTCAGATGTGTTAAGATTTAGGCACCACATTGTGTTTCTTTTACCCATCCGCTCCAGCCCAAGCAAGGAAGATCATCCCCACTCACCCCTCACTTCAATCACCTCCTCCCAGATATGTTTCAAGAAACAGCACCCGGTTCCTCTCTAGCATCTGGCCTCTGGTCAATGCAGGTGACCAGCTGTGTGGTACTGAAAGGCTTGATGGCTTGCAGCAAGCTGTCTGAATGCCCAGATGATTTTTTTCCCAAAACCATTACAGAGTGTCTGCTTCAGACAAGTGGTTTCACCTGCCAATGGCAGCATGATGCCTTAGCTGACTGATGTGTTGCACTCGACAGCTCTTAGAAACAAGGATTTCTAGGCAGACCCTTCACTCAGCCCCAACCCCTTCACTGCTAGGTCTTGAGGTTCATTCCTCTCCCCCACGTTCCTCTGCTGGCTCACCTGGTCTGCGGATGGGAAGAGGATTGAGGCATTTGAAACCACAACGAAATTGGCAGCACCTCTTCTCCCCAGGGCATTGCCAGTCAGAATCACACTCTGGTTTCTCTCTCCTAAGGCACTTGGCGGGCTTCTTAGAAGGGCAGGCTCCAGTTTTGATAGCATCTAAAGAAAATGTCAAGAAGTTAGGAGAGTATGGAATATCTATCAAAATTCCTAGATAAAGACGACTTTCCAGAGTTTAGATCCTCATCCCAGTAGCCCACAGCTACAAAGAGAGATATCTGACTGATCCCGAGGAAAAAACAAAGCAAATAAACAAAATGACTGGCTTGGTCAAACAAGACATGTAACCAGGAAAAATCGCAGACTGAGGCGATCACAGACTGGCACAGGGTTCCCAGGCAAGTTTTTCCACCTCAGGGCTAAACTAGATTACGCAAAGACAGAAAGGGAGAATAGGAATAATGGAGACAAAGAGAAATAAATATGGAGAGAACAAACATGTGAGATGTTGAGAACTAAAGCCAGAGGCAGAAACGGAAAGGCTAAAGGACAGAAGCAGACATAGAGTGAGACCTGAGCTCACAGGATGGCCGAGTAATAAAGAGAGAACTTCTATTGAAGCCTCATGGACACCTCAGAATCCAGCCAGATATGGATGCCTCCAGAAGGTCCAGAGGAATCTGGCGAACACTCTACAGAAGAGAGCCCACTCAACCCCAGCAGCCCTCACACCCTGCACTCTGGGCAGGTTAGACCACTCTAACCCCTACTCACCATTTTTGCCTCCTTCCACAGTCCAGGATGCCAGGATCGCCAGAGCAAGAAGCACCGCGAAAGGGAAGAACCTGCTGAACTTCATGGTGAAGGCAGAGTGGCTCCAATGACCAGTGCCAAGCATCACCCTTTATATCTTTACCAGTGGGCGTGGCTGCTATTGGGCCCTCCCAGCTGCTATTGCATAGTCAGGAAGCTTAGCCAGAGAACAAAAGTCTTGATACTACAGCAGTGGACAGTAAACACCCTGTTTCAGGCAGGACCATGCGGCCAGCAGAGGAACTACCAGAGTTAAAAATGAAAGAAGTTGTTTTGAAGTTGTCCTCACAGGGACATTCCAGGAGACCACCTGAGCCTTGAGCATTGCGAAATCTGAAAGTCTGATGCCCTTTCTGGTAGAGAAGAGCAGAAAGTGTGAGTCACAGAAGGGCCACCAGGACCTGAAGCTGAAACATAGGACATGGACTCTCAGCTGAGACTGTGCAATACACCTCTATTTCTCATATTCCTGGACTTTCTGGGATTTTGAAACTCTAACCTATTGCTCAATGCAAATTTCTCCTCAAAATACAGATGACACATGGCTCAAACCACCGACATTTATCTCTGCCAAATTATTTGC